ACTTGAATATTTCATGAAGTCAGTGTGGAATGTGTTGGTGACATTCGATATTTTAGAGAATATCGTAGCCAAATCGACTTCCATCCAATCCAAAAAAGCGACCTGAGCGAAGAGCACCAAATTTGCGTTTGCGTCAGGAAGCGGCCGTTGAACGCGGAAGGTGCGCTTGTATCAAGCGAGTGTTTCGCTGTCGCAAGTTGTTTAGCGGTTATGGCTTTATAGAGCAGCTGAAAGACATCGACGTCGTTACGGTACTGAATCACAAACAAGTAGTCGTTCACCAGCCACAGACCAAAGTCGATCTGACCAAGCATCTGGTGAACTCAGAGTTCGTCTTCGACTACGCGTTTGACGAAGCTGCATCCAACGAACTCGTCTATCGGTGAGTTGGATGTAGCAAATCGCTCAGCCTGATGGTTTTATTTATTTTTTTATTATAGTTTCACGGCACAGCCTTTGGTAAAAACCATATTCGAAAAGGGCATAGCAACGTGTTTCGCGTATGGCCAAACGGGTTCTGGTAAAACACATACGATGGGAGGAAATTTCACCGGCCGGTCGCAAAACGTCGCTGATGGCATTTACGCTATGACCGCTAAGGACGTGTTCCAAACGCTCCATGAGCGGAGGGGCACGACCGCCGTTGACCTCACCGTATCGTGCAGCTATTTCGAAATATACGGTTCTAAGGTGTGTAGCTCTGTTTTCTCGACATATGATGATTTGCTATGACTATTAGCCATTGTCGTTATCTTTCAGCTGTTCGATTTGTTGAACAAAAAAGTTCAACTAAAAATAATGGAGGACGGCAGGAACCACTTGCAAATCATCGGTCTTACCGAAGTACCGGTCAGCAACGAACAAGAGGTCATAAAACTGCTGCAACGAGGCAATCGCATCAGAGCTGCTGGTCAAACGTCGACCAACGTCCAGAGTAGTCGGTCCCACGCTATTTTTCAATTCATCTTGCGCACAAAGTACGTAAACGTCGTCGTTCTTAGGGTTTCATTCGTTCATTCATTCATTCGTTATTGTCAAAACCCTTTAGTGCAAGGCAGAAGTTTCAGTCTTGACCACTGACGTTATGATATTATGAATGTAGATGTCGATACATTCTTGAAAAAAACAGAAAGCCTCGCATTATTACTCAGTTTGCTTTTCTTCATAGCAGACCAGCTTAACTCCTTTATTATTACACCTGTCTGGCGGCCAGTCTTTGTGTGTAATTCCATATCCTGTTTATTATCATTTTTAACCGCACGCGCACTCAAAATATTTAAACTTCTCAAATTTAAACCATTATCTTGCAACTTGTGGATCACTCTGAGTTTTAAAGATTTCGGATTTTTGGCATTTCAAATGTAGCCATGTGATTTGTTGACATATCATGCTTCGTGATGCCGCTATCTAAGCCGGTCATTCACACTGCTACGTACCGGGAATTCATTTAAACTATCTCAGGTGAATTATGCGTTCACCAAAGTGCGCCAAGGTTTCTTATGTTTCACAAGGTTGTTGAAGTTCTCAGCACTTTCTTCGAGTTACCTATTTGGCTTTTTGCTATTGGTTGCTTAGTAGCGATAATGACTTTTATTGGCCCAACACGTTTTGTTTTTTGCAGCGAAGTGATTTTCATATTCTGCGTGGTTCTTTAGTTTTTTATGCAAATCATTGACTGGATAAAGTCGCCTGTAGTTTGTGCCGCGCGGCGACTTGGTAACCCGTGCTCAAATCTGACAGCGGGGAGTAACGGTAACCCGTTACACGTGAAGTTCAAACGAGGAGTTTCTTTGCTATCAGATGCCAGAAGCGAAGCCATCACCGTTCTAGAGCGCACTGAGGATTATTCCCTCAGACTAATACTGACTCTCCTACGAAGGACGCTAAGAAATCGTGAGGAGTAGGAACGTAATATTTTACAAAACTTGCAGTCTCATCTTCAGAGACGGTTCTTTTACTATTACATTCCTGTTGTTTTTTGCATAAATACTGCTGTATGCTAGTTGCAAACCTTCTTGCCTAAGTGACCAAACTTCTTGTT